AACAGTGTTACTCTCTATTTAACTGATTCTTGTTCAAAATAGAAAAAATTGGGGCGCCTGGGTGGCGCAGTCGGTTGGGCATCCGACTTCAGCCAGGTCACGATCTCGCGGTCCGTGAGTTCGAGCCCCGCGTCGGGCTCTGGGCTGATGGCTCAGAGCCTGGAGCCTGTTTCCGATTCTGTGTCTCCCTCTCTCTCTGCCCCTCGCCCGTTCATGCTCTGTCTCTCTCTGTCCCAAAAATAAAAATAAAACGTTGAAAAAAACAAAATAGAAAAAATTATTTAATACATCTTTTAAGTTTATTTGAGAGAGAGAGAGAGCGCAGGGGAGGGGCAGAGAGAGAGAGAGAGAGAGAGAGAGAGAGAGAGAGAGAGGATCCCAAGCAGACTCTGCACTGAGCCTGATGCGGGGCTGGAACTCACAAACCATGAGATTATGACCTGAGCTGAAACCAAGAGTGGGATGCTTAACTGCCCAAACCAACCAGGTGCCCCCTGATACATTTTTCATTAGTCATTTAGCAAATATTTATTGAGTAACTACAATGGATATAGTGTTTGTTTTTAAGATTTTATTTTTAAGTAAATTCTATACCCAATGTGGGGCTTGAACTTACAACCCCAAGATTAAGAGTTGCATGCTCCACTGACTGAACCAGCCAGGTGCCCCCCACCTTTTTTTTTCTTAAAGAAAATTATATTTGTTCTAGTTTCTGTCATCTACATCATTTCTGTGGTAGGAAATATGCTCATTATGGTCACCATCACTGCCAGCCTATCAGTGAGGTCTCCCATGTACCTTTTCCTGGCTTATCTCTTTTTTTATTGATGCTGGCTATTCCTCTATAAATACCCCTAAACTGATTGTAGATTCACTCTATGAAAAGACCATCCTATTCAAGGGGCACATGACCTAAGTATTTGGAGAACATGTCTTTGGAGCTGCTGAGGTCATCCTACTTAGTATGATGGCCTATGGCTGTTATGTGGCCATCTGCAAGCCCTTGAACTATACAACCATCATGTCCTGGCAGGTACGTGGCCTGCTGGTGGGAGTGGTGTGAGTAGGAGGCTTTCTTCATGCAACCATACAGATCTTCTTCAGCTTCCAATTATCCTTCTGTAGCCTTAACACCACAGATCACTCTATGTGTCATCTGAACCCTTTGCTCAATTTTGCCTGCACTGATATTTACACTCTAGGCTCTTTGTTGTTGCCAACAGTGGAGTGATCTGTGTGTTAAACTTCCTTCTCTTGGGGCACCTGAGTGGCTCAGTCAGTTAAGCGTCCAACTTCGGCTCAGGTCATGATCTCACAGTTCATGAGTTTGAGCCCTGCACTGGCTCTGTGCTGACAGCTCAGAGCCTAGAGCCTGATTCAGATTCTGTGTCTCCCTCCCTCTCTGCCCCTCCCATGCTCACACATTGTCTCTCTCTCCCTCTGTCTCTCAAAAATAAAATAAGAACATTAAAATTAAAAAAATAAACTTCCTTCTCTTTGTTTAAATTTTTGTTTTTTATTTGAGTATAGTTGACACACAATGTTACATTACTTTCAGGTGAACAATGAACACGGATCTTTGAAATTGCTTCTATAACTTCTTCTGCCAGAAGTTTATAAATATTGGTATTTATATCAATTTTACATTAGAAGGAGAGTTTTGGAAGAAATCAGAGAATAAAAAAGCAGTTTTTATGGTTATCTACCATATTCTTATCCAGCTCTACAAAAGCATGGCTTTCATATGAAGTTCATGCCAGACATTTTTTAGAAAACTCTTATGCGCTGATTTGTTTGCAATGAAATTGACAGAATAAGAACATTTCAATGGACTGTGTAAAGTCATGGTTTTGTTAATTTTATGGCTATCACTGTGACTCTTTTATGTTATGAAATAAAATTCTTTCTGAATTTTAATATGTTGGAGGAAAGACATTTTCCATGAATGATATTAATAGTTCCAATTAATCTTTTTTTTTTTAAGGTTTATTTATTTTTAAGAGAGAGAGCGAGAGCATGCACAGGCAGAGGAAGGGAAAAGAGAGAGGGGGAGACACAGAATCTGAAGCAGGTTCCAGGCTCTAAGCTGTCAGCACAGAGCCCAACGCGGGGCTAGAACTCACGTACTGGGAGATCATGACCCTAATCCTAACCCTAACCCTAAGTTGGACGCCCATCCGACTGAGCCACCCAGGCGCCCCCCAACTATCTTTTTTATAGCAGCATTTGTGAAAATACTCTGTGACTCATTAAAATTACCTCCTTTAACGCAGGGGTTATTTGTGGAATAACTTTAGAACCCTTCTAAGGACTAATATGTGCTTTAGACAGAGTGGAAGCCTACTGATAAGCTGCAGAAATAGCTCACTGATGCTCACCAAGGTGCTGAATGATTACAGAAAAGTAGTGTGTGTTTATTTTCCTCGATCTGCCTTAGACACCCTAAAGCTACTTTACTTTCTATTTAACAATCACTATCAATCCTATCATGTGAGGTTATTAATAAACATAAAGGTTAATAATCTCTAGAAATCCATTCATCAAGATGGCTTAATGATTCTGTTGGTTTGTCTATGTATATTTACTTGGCCCTCTTTACCATTTTTCCTGGAGGTTAATGAAAAGGGCCTCAAGCATACAAAACAATCATAGCTTTTTCAAACATATGGCTATTTCCCCCTAAAAGCCAAAGTAAACCTGGCATAGTATGTAGGTGAGGGTGAGGAAATACAATTTGTTTTTTTTGTTTTTGTTTTTGTTTTGTTGTTTTGTTTGTTTTTTTTTTTTTTTTTTTTTTTTTTTTTTTTTTTTTTTTTTTTTTTTAAATTTTTTTTTTTTTAAATTTTTTTTTTTTCAACGTTTATTTATTTTTGGAACAGAGAGAGACAGAGCATGAATGGGGGAGGGGCAGAGAGAGAGGGAGACACAGAATCGGAAACAGGCTCCAGGCTCTGAGCCATCAGCCCAGAGCCTGACGCGGGGCTCGAACTCACGGACCGCGAGATCGTGACCTGGCTGAAGTCGGACGCTTAACCGACTGCGCCACCCAGGCGCCCCTGTTTTGTTTGTTTTTTAACGGCACTGCTTTTTAGGGAAAACAAACATGATAGGGATGGACAGATTTTTTTTTCAATTACATTCTACCCATTCTGGGGTCATATGTATGGTGAGTACTGAGGGAGATTGTTTGGAAGCTTTTCTGGCTGGCCCATAGAGGAGTACTGGCTTTGAGGGAGGGTTCATAGTTTTGGGCCCACAGTTTTTATAATTACCCTTTAATTCAGCTCAGGGACAAATGTAAATGGTGCCACTGGGAAAGCAAGTAGATTATCCCTTAAGTAACCAAGATATTATTTATTGTCTAATAAGCTATTGCTGAGAAAACTTAAATACATATTTGTGTAGTTTTTATAGGCTTCCTTGGTTTTGCATACAGAATGCAAAATTTATT